TGAACAGGCATTATAGTAAAAAAATGGTGCACTGATTTACTTCAGTATAATACCCCTGGTAAGGATTTATCATTGCCTCCAAACATAAAGATATTTCTATATTTTACATATATTTATATATAAAAATAGATTTATATAAAAATGCAGAGTGCAAATGGCATAATTGTTAATCAGCATCAACACCTTTACCTACGGTGCACCCCCTCTTAGTATAATGTTATCACACATTGACACCACATCTCATAAGTATGCTTCTAGCAGTAAATCCAAGAAGAAATTTAGTTTGTCATAGGCGAAATAGCTTGCTTTCATTTTGATGCTCAGTAACTCCTTTTTGTGAGGACGACAAATAGATAGAGATACATGACTTGCAACACCATTTCATTTGCTCGTCTTAGTCATTCTTGCTTTTAATCTCCTCGTAACAGATCCATTCCTTTTCTGATCAGAGAAGTTTTACATCTGGAAATCTCCAAGTATTTATTGTGCATTAGTTGATCTGAAGCTTGTTTAATATTCCAATGCTTGTAATTGATTTTTGGTGGTCTTTGCTTGATTGCAGACAAATGTGAAAGCACTGATGGATAATGTCACCTTCCCAGGAGCTTTTATCACATCGCACTTGCTATCCAGTTTTTCTTAGTGACAATTCTAAACTTTGCCGAAGCACAAAAACCCTCTCATTTGTGGACACTTGCAATAGTTCTGTATGAAACATTGCACTTCAGCAAACCTTCATGTGTGGGAGGAATATATTTAGCATTCATTATTTCAAATCTGTTTTTTCTCTGTTGTCATCTTATGCCATTTGCATCTCACAGTATTAGAGAAAGGATCCACTGCTCCTATTTATCTTACAGGACTTAAAGCGGGATAGACGGTGTAAGACTTCCCTTGGGGAACAGCTGCTTTCCCAGTCCTCTCACTGATGAATCTGTTACTGGGATCATTTTTACGAGCAACTGACTGGTAACTCAAATAATGTTTGCCTAGTCTAGTTCTGAAGCAAGGAGGGAAGTTAATTTTTACCAGAGATAGAGAAGTTAATAAGTAGGATTGTAATAATGTTGCCAAAATCTGCTATCCGTAAGTTCAGACATCTAATCTGAATTAGTTGCCTAGGCTCCTGATACAGTAAATAGACAAAAAGATGCATTGACCCAGGGCAGTTCATTCAGTTCTCAGACAGGCAACAAAGTTAGGCCCCTTCCAGAGAGCAATTCATCCTAACTTTTTTATCCTTAATTTCACTGGGATTCAGAACAACATAATATTTTCACATGGCTGATGTCAAATGAGGGGAATCTTACTCTTGTTCATAGATCAAATAATTTTAAAATACAAGTTATTTTTTATTAAAAACAATTATAAATATCCATATATTTCTTACACAGTGGCACAAACTCGTCTTTAGACTGGTTACAGAGAGACTAAGAAATTTACTGTAAGAAACTTGGCTGTTGCAAGCACAGATTTGCTTTAAGTGGCCCACAGTTAATTTTGTAAAATCCTAAAACTCTTTGAGGTAGAAGATGAGTGACACATTTAAAAGATGTGTATGCACAGGGAGACAGTTGCTTACGTAAGCGCAAGGGCACTTGTATATATTTTGGGCATACAGGCTACAAAGATTAGGTGAAAGAAAATAACATAAAAAATAAAAGCAGCAGTAAAATTACTTGGAGTTATCTTTTAAGCTGTTTTACTGACAATTAGTAATGACACAAGTGCATGAGAAGTTGTTTATATAATTTAGAAAAATAGGATGTCACCAAGCATCAGTGTCGAGTCAGAGCTCGCAGTCCGTGTTACATAGTAAACTTGATTTTTTGGAACAGTGGAGATTTTTGAAAATCTACAGTACATAACAGCTGCTTGAAGCCAGTCTTTTTCAGGTGTAGCATGTTGATATGAAGTCATACTGTTGCCCTCTACTGGCATCTGCTGAAAGCTCTTAAGGCCTTACTCATCAAGTACCGTGGTCTCCATGGTTAATCTCTGAAGGACACTGTTAATCCATTTCAGACAAACTCAAAACCATCCTTTGAAAGCAAAACTCTTTCTCTTTAAAGAGACTCGGGGATGGGGGGAGAGAGGGAGGAGGGCTACAACTCCTACCTGTCAATGCTCATCTGCTTACAAACTGCTGAAAGCTTTAACTTCTACATTCAGAAGCCGTAAAACATAAAAATGTCGGCTGAATTAATTAAATATTTGAGTACTGACAACTGTTGGAGTGTTTGAATTTCGGAGGCATGGATTAAAGACATCAAGGGTCATGAGAGAGAGTATCATATTTCAAACTGTTCAGTGCAAACACAGCTATAACACAGTGATTGTTGTCATCATCCTAAAAAAAAAAAAAGCCAAATTCACACAATTGTGCTTTCTGAGAGATGGCAGAATACAAGAGAGAAAAATTCTTGTATTTCACAAGTACTTTGCTACACAGTTTTTTGCTGCTGTTATTACAGAGTTACCTAAACAGAAATAAAAGACAGAAAAGAACAGAATAGTCTTACCTACTAAAGAGGTGGGGTTTTTTAATCCCCTCACTTAAATAATCATCTAATGTCAGCTGCCCTCAAATCTTTACACAACCTATGACTATATGGAGATTTTATGTACCACAGTGACTATCAGTTGATCAGCTGTACTGTATTCACAATCAGTCCTTCTGAAGAGCTGTTTCTGTAAGCTGTCTCCATTATATACTTTTTGTGATCCTTTGACATCTTGTTCCTGAGAAAGAAAACATCCAGTATCTTCCCTCTGAGCAACCATGGAGGAACACATGCGGAGAAAAGATGAGAAGAGGGATGAGGCTTCCCTTCTCCAAGTCAAGATGAATATCCTTGTTATTAGGGACTGTGGAGCTTTGAATACTTCTCTCTGTTACTTGCCACTCTCTTACACTCTGATCTTTGGCATATCAGTGAAATAGGTCTGATTTTTTCTTTTTTTGAACTGTAAAATGTAGTTAATCTTTCCTACCTATTTTCCAGGATTGACTATGAGTGTTAATGAGTGACATTTGGACTATGTTAAATCTCTCTATACATGCGAAGATTCTTTCACAAGCGGAAAGCTGTGCATTGACTTAGAATAGGCTTTGCTCAACTTGTATTTTCAAATAAAAGTTTGTTACACCTTCAGCATTATGATTGTGTAGAAACAATTCCATTTTGTGAATAGAAAAATAGTTATCATATCTTAATTTGTTGAACTGTGGCTTTGTATTAGAAACAACCTGGTATTTGCTCTTAAAGCCTTGTGTACAGAGAGAGGAGGCAATCAACTCAGATTCCAGTGCGTTGCCTAAAGAGTTAAAAATTAAAATGCCCTTGGGAAATTACAAAGCTTTATCACTTCTTCCAAATAATGGAGCTAGCTTAGAAACTCTTCACTCTGATTCTGAATAGCTCAGTATCCACATTACACTAATGTGAGTTTGGGAAGATCGATGCTAAATGATACTAGTTTAATGGAGCATTAAACTAAATACCTTTTAAGATATGGGATGCTGCAAGGGACATGCCAAGATCCTTCTGCTTCCATTTCAATCATAAATTGCGACACAAAAATTGCAGAAACTTTTGATTAACTAGCTTCTAACGGTTACTTCAGATACAGCATTAAAAAAGAGTAGGTTTTATATTTCATTGGGATTCTGACACCCAGAGGGCTCTAAAAATGACCAGATGTGAAATAGAAGAAATATTTGGGAGCAGTTAATACCTAAACATAAAAGTGACCATGTGTAAGTCACTGTAGAATGTGGTTTGGGCAAGGGCAGTAGGTGTTTTCTCCCCCTGCCCACCCCCCGGCTTCTCCC